GACACTCTTGTAGGACACTCTTGTGGGACACTCTTGTGGGACACTCTTGTGGGACACTCTTGTAGGACAATCTTGTGGGATACTCCTGTAGGACACTCTTAAGGGTCACTCTTGTAGGAAACTCTAGTGGGACACTGTTGCGGGTCACTTGCAGAGGGTTGCGCGGGCACCGGACAAATCGCACTCTCGCTTGCATTTCGCGCACTCGACACGCGCGATCTCCGCAGAGGGTTGCGCGCGCATGGGACAAATCGCACTCTCGCCTGCATTTCGCGCACTCGACAGGCACGATCTCCGCAGAGGGTTGCGCGTCAAGTCTCCAAAACGAGCGTTTCGTATGAGACTTCCTCAAAAACTCACATGTCAAAGTCTGCAAAACGAGCGTTTCGTACGAGACTTCCTCCAAAAGTCAAGCGGAAACACCCATCGGAGCACACACATTACGCAGCCCTGCCAAGCAGTTTCGCGATTCCAGCCCCGCCAAACAACATCCGCTCACACGCCAATCCCAATGTGACAGCGACATTCACCTCTACCACAACTCACAACCTCACGCTTCCCTGCGCCTGCCACGACAATGGCGCTTCCACGCCTCAAAACCCGCGCAAAGTCCTGCGCCTGCCACGAAAAGTCACAATATCATCGCATGTGAGCCTCAACAAAATTTGCACCACACCACACGTTTGGAATGATTTCGACCCGTTCGGAGCACACTCCCATCCACCAAAATCGCCATTTCAGCTGAGACTTGTCACGAAAACCGAGCTTCGATGCCACACCCTGAAACGCAAATCCCAATGGCACGGCCACATCCAACACCCCAAAAACACGACTCTCCAAACGCTAATCCCAATGGAACTGCGCAGCAATCTGCGGATCTCACAAAACGCTGCGCCTGTGCAGCGAAATGCATCACGTTTCTTGCGCGACATGTCGGTGTCATGCAAATCACAATAACGGAATTGCGGCGCAAACTGACATGTGACACATCCATGAAAAGTCACTTGCAAAAGCTTCCCCCAATGGCAGCAAATTTGAGACGCGACGACGACGACACGACGACGACAAACGACGACACGACGCAAGCCATGCAAACACAGCTCCAACCCCCAGACCCCCAACTATAAACGGGAACCCTTCGCTACGCATTCGGGAAAAATTGTGTGCCCCTGTTGATTTGTGTGCTTCAATTTCTACAAATGAAATTGGTCAATGCCATAGAAGCCCCACAGTTTCAGAGTTCCAACTTGTTTCGTCGATCCAACTTTGAAACATTTGAGAACATGCCTGAGTTTGGTCAAAACTTGAAAAAGTTTTTGGCGTGGGCGACCCACCCACACCCACACCTCCAAAGCAACCTCAAAGCTGTTTGGAGCTTTGTTAAGAGAAGCTTTTGGAGTTTGACAGGCTGCATGGAAATTGCTTGCAGACACCTTGTAGCCGCAGCCTTTTACAGTCAAAGGTGCGCGCAAGTGGTGCGAGTGCTTCCTTGTGAGCCGCGTGTTTTCGCTTTGCGCTTTTCAGGTGGTGGTGGTGCTGGTGGAGCTCGGAGAATGTCCAGGTCAATGTTTGGTCGCAAAAGAAGCAAAGGCAGTGATTTGTCTGTGTCCGCAGGTCGTTTGTGCAAATATGGCTGATGTGGACACGTTCCACGTCTTTCAGATGGTGTTGCATTTGGGGGGGTCAAAAGTTTTTCGAGTGTAAGGTTGAAAAAATTGCAGATCTGAAGCTGGTGCCAAGAATTA